ATTTCCGTTGTAGTGGATGCAACACAATATTAGATTTCAGACACTTCAGACAACAATACAAGTTCATTTTAGGGTAGATCAACAAGTACGGTGTTCTGATTCCGAACAAAATTAACACTTTGTAATACTCCTACTGATATTTCGGATAATGCAAGGCAAAGCATGTTATTTCGAAATAGTTAGCTATTGTACGTGCGCTTCTTTCATTCCGTTCACTAACTCGTCTGCGCCACCGCCTTCTCCTGGAAAGATTGTTTGTTTGTTTGTTTGTTAAAAGCCTCACTCAGCAATAGTCCAGCTATATGACGGCGGTCTGGAAATAATCGAGTCTGGACCAGACAATCCAGTGATCGATATTTTGTGGAAATATAGCGCAACATAAATGGCATTATGATTATTATTATTATTATGGGCAACGATCCACGCTGTCGGAGTAAAATGTCATGCAATCAGCCAAGTTAGCGAACCTGACCACCATTCGCTCTAACGACCGGAGTACACCCATAGAACATTTAGCAAGGATCCAGCTAAGAAGCAGCAACAAACATCAGGAATATTAAGACGCGTTTAAAATGGAACTGGTTTTAATGTACGGAGTCGTAACTGTTACACTGGGCAGCTGTTGAGCACCAAACACCATGCCAAAGGTGACATGGGAGTTGAGTGTGTTTACCAATGAAACCTGATAAAACGTATTGGTTTAAGAAAGACTACTCTTGAATTCTACATAGTTGCACGCGTCGGTAAGAGCTGAACTTTTATCAGCTTCTACGTTGTGATCAATTGGGATGCTGAGGCGGTGTGTGAGCGCGAATTCAGACAGAGATAAGGTAGATATCGTTGTGTTGCTATCGCCTTCACTCCACCGAGTACAGTCACATGGGGTGGGGTGGGGTGTTTGTTGTGTGAGTGAGTGTGTGAGTGAGTGAGTGAGTGAGTGAGTGAGTGAGTGAGTAAGTGAGTGAGTGAGTGACGGCGCAGTCAATATTCTCACATCACGGTCGCCTGTATATCAAGAAGCACAAACCCGCCTTCACCAATCCATTGAAGACTCGGCTGAACATGTCCATCAGAAGTTTGTATAAAACATAGCCAAAAAAGAATAATATAACATAATAATTTAGCTAACAAATTCACCAAAATTAAGTACTCCTAATTTAAAGATGAAGATGGCCTGTTCCAATATAGTGTCTCCAATAATATCAGCTCAATTAATACCATTTGTTTTCATGTTTACAATTTCAACCAATATATCATGATACATCAACATATTCATCATTTAAAATATTTATTCATGACTTACTTCATTTTGCTTTATTCTTGTTGATTATGTATGTATTGTTGTTGTATTTGTGTACATGTAATTTGTGGCCATGTTTTACATTGCATTTGTTCTTTTATGGAATGTGTTGCAATAAGTAATTGTTATCTTATCTTAAAAAAACAGGCACATCAGCGATGTGCATAAGGAACGATCCTCGCCAAAGTGATAAATCTTTATAATGATCGAAATGAATTCTTCACCACCCTCATTGACAAACAGGGTGTAGAATGCTACGTTCAAATTAAACTTCTGGAAGAGCATAAAGTGCTAGCCTATTCTGGGGCTCAGTAAAAATACAATCAATGGCTGGCCAGCAGAGCCTGACTACCCGATCCCCAGTTAGTCGACCTATTCGACAAGCACGATGCGATCGACCTATTTTCACAGGAATCCCCACAGGGTGCCAGAATGTTCAGACAATAAATGAACCCTTCGAAATACATTATGCATTACTGGATATTTGATCCAAAAAGCCCAGCAGTTTCAGATGAGCCGAAGTAAGATAATATCAGCACTGTACAATGTTAATCATTATTCTATATAAACTTATATTAACTTGTCGCAAATCAATCTCGCAATCTTTTCGACGATCAACACTTAATCGTGCTGCAGGAGCGCGCCCAGATACCAACACCAGGGCAAGAACGCCTTACAACAGGGTATACGTACGAGAGTTGACGTATCTCTGACTGATCACAACGCATTAATAACACACCTTATCTCATGGTTTCAGAGCTATCGTGTAGACACTCAATGACCGGTGCGCTTCAATATGTAGATATCGCGCACCTGCTGGGTTGTGGGGGAGAGTAGCGTGTCTAAGTGCAGATTGTACCGTATCAAGAATCAGTTTAATGGAATGATGGGTCGAAACTGCCTTGGAGATTTAACCAAATTTAAAATGATAACCCAGTCCTTCAAAAGCATATGGAATAGATTAAAATAAACTCTGTTTTCATTGTATTCACATGCTTCACCAGATGTTATCTACTATCATAGAAATTCTCAATTATTTCACCACGTGCTCTGAGCGGTCGGGTAGTCTACTTTTGACTAAAATAATCTTACAGAATATGTTAATACAAATAAGAAAAATATGAAAACTCGTTGAACCGAATACTGTTATTCCAAGTGATATCATCCGGATTAACATACACACGCAGTCTGTGTTGAGCTTACTTCGCTGTTTACCCAATAAACTGGAGTTACGTGATCAAAGGTGCATAGCTCTATCTGAATCAGTTATATATATGTCAAACAGTCGCATTGAACTCATATTTGACCAGCTCGTCCATTCAGATAGACACCGATCCTGCGACAAGAGATACCTCTGAGGCAGTCTGAACCCTCTTTGATGGCCTGGAAATACGTCAAACACCCTGACTATATCTAATAGTATATTTAACACAGGACACTCGTCAGATAAGTTTGACACATACTGATCACAGGACGATAACCATGTCTGGATCATATTGAACACAAGATATTCATTAGACAGTCTGGATCATATTGAACAAAAGGCACTCATTAGACAGTCAGGATCATATTGAACACAAGGTACTCATTAGACAGTCTGGATCTTATTGAACACAATATATTCATTAGACAGGCTGGATTTTATTGAACACAAGGTACTCATTAGAGAGCATGGATCATATTGAACACAAGGTACTCATTAGACAGGCTGGATCTTATTGAACACAAGGTACTCATTAGACAGCGTAGATAATATTGAACACAAGGTATTCATTAGACAGTCTGGATCTTATTGAACACAAGATATTCATTAGACAGTCTGGATCATATTAAGACACAAGGCACTCATTAGACAGTCTGGATCATATTGAACACAAGGCACTCTTTAGACAGTTTGGATCATTTTGAACACAAGGTATTCATTAGACAGTCTGGATCATATTGAACACAAGGTACTCATTAGACAGCGTAGATAATATTGAACACAAGGTATTCATTAGACAGTCTGGATCTTATTGAACACAAGGTACTCATTAGACAGGCTGGATCTTATTGAACACAAGGTACTCATTAGACAGCGTAGATAATATTGAACACAAGATATTCATTAGACAGTCTGGATCTTTTTGAACACAAGATATTCATTAGACAGTCTGGATCATATTAAGACACAAGGCACTAATTAGACAGTCTGGATCATATTGAACACAAGGCACTCTTTAGACAGTTTGGATCATTTTGAACAGAAGGCACCCATTAGACAGTCAGGATCATATTGAACACAAGGTACTCATTAGACAGGCTGGATCTTATTGAACACAAGGTACTCATTAGACAGCGTAGATAATATTGACCACAAGGTATTCATTAGACAGTCTGGATAATATTGAACACAAGGCACCCATTAGACAGTCTGGATCATATTGAACACAAGGTACTCATTAGACAGGCTGGATCTTATTGAACACAAGGTACTCATTAGACAGCGTAGATAATATTGAACACAAGGTATTCATTAGACAGTCTGGATCTTATTGAACACAAGATATTCGTTAGACAGTCTGGATCATATTAAGACACAAGGCACTCATTAGACAGTCTGGATCATATTGAACACAAGGCACTCTTTGGACAGTTTGGATCATTTTGAACATACGGTATTCATTAGACAGTCTGGACCATGTTGAACACAAGGTAGTCATTAGACAGTCTGGATCATATTGAACACAAGGTATTCATTAGACAGTCTGGATCATATTGAACACAAGGCACTCTTTAGACAGTCTGGATCATATTGAACACATGGTTCTCATTAGACAGTCTGGATCATATTGAACACATGGTTCTCATTAGACAGTCTGGATCATATTGAACACATGGTTCTCATTCGACAGTCTGGATCTTATTGAACACCTGGTTCTCATTAGACAGTCTGGATCATATTGAACACAAAATACTCAAAAGAAAGCGTGGATAATATTGAACACAAGGTATTGATTAGACAGTCTGGATCTTATTGAACATACGGTACGCATTAGACAGTCTGGATCATATTCAACACAAGGTATTCATTAGACAGTCTGGATCTTATTGAACACATGGTTCTCATTAGACAGTCTGGATCATATTGAACACAAGGTATTCATTAGACAGTCTGGATCTTATTGAGCACAAGGCACTCTTTAGACAGTCTGGATCTTTTTGAACACAAGGTATTCATTAGACAGCGTGGATCATATTGAACACAAGGCACACATTAGACAGGCTGGATCTTATTGAACGCAAGGTATTCATTAGACAGTCTGGATCATATTGAACACAAGGTATTCATTAGACAGCGTGGATCATATTGAACACAAGGCACGCATTAGACAGTCTGGATCTTATTGAACACAAGGTATTCATTAGACAGTCTGGATCATATTGAACACATGGTTCTCATTAGACAGTCTGGATCATATTGAACAAAAGGTATTCATTAGACAGTCTGGATCTTATTGAACACATGGTTCTCATTAGACAGTCTGGATCATATTGAACACAAGGTACTCATTAGAAAGTCTGGATCATATTGAACACATGGTTCTCATTAGACAGTCTGGATCATATTGAACACAAGATACTCATTAGACAGTCTAGATCTTATTGAACACATGCTTCTCATTAGACAGTCTGGATCATATTGAACACAAGACATTCATTAGACAGGCTGGATTTTATTGAACACAAGGTATTCGTTAGACAGTCTGGATCTTATTGAACACAAGGTATTCATTAGACAGTCTGGATCTTATTGAACACCTGGTTCTCATTAGACAGTCTGGATCTTATTGAACACAAGGCACTCATTAGACAGTCTGGATCATATTGAACACACGGCATTTAAAAGACACTCTCGACCATACTGAACACCGGGTACATAATAGACATCCTGGATTACTTGGAAATATAAGTGACAAAAATATTTCCATAATTAAATCTCGATGGGAAAACTTGCACTGGACATAATTTTGGAATACGAGGTACTCATTTGACAACCGAGATTACATTGAAAACAAATATATATAAGTTACAATAATCTCGATAATCACCGGTAATATCCATTATGATCTCACATATCTTTTATAGTGTACAATACTAATAGTCTTGAATACGTTTCATATCTCGTTGTCAGGAGTTAGTGTAGATGCCATTTTGAGTAAACGTGTTTTCATTTGATGTCTCTCATTTCCTTCAGGACACCAGCTAATGTTGAAATTGCCTAAAAAGGAAAATATTATTGAGACAATGACGACAGACATGAAACAAACAAATCCTTTTCGGGTTCAATATCTTTTTCCTAAAGGAATTCGCATGGAAGAAACTTTAGGCCCTAGCATTAGAACAGCGAACGCTAATTCTAAACGGTAAATTGAATTGGATACGAATTCTGAAGCAGTACTAAGTTTTTGACTCCCGAGACGTGTTCGCGGAGAAGTAGCTCGTTAAGTCCCGTACAGCCATTTAATGTCACATGCACCTATTGGTGACATATGGTTAATGTGTGTCGATGTAGGGTGTCAGCTGGGGTTAATTCCATTGGGAGGGAGGTGAAATGGGGTTAACGTCGCGTTCAAGATATTCCACCTATATAGCGATGTGCATGCACGCACGCTTGTGTGTACGTGTGCGTGTGCGTGTGCGTGTGCGTGTGCGTGTGCGTGTGTATGTGATGTGTGTGTGCAGCTGCTTGTACTAGTCCTGACTGATGCCAATTTAATAGCGCTAGCCCACTGAGATACCATGCCGCAGTTTAACATGAATACCCCACTCAAACACAGTATACTTACTCCGAGCCGACCAGTTCATATTTCAGCTCCTTAATCCCGAGCGCCAGGCAGGGTAACAACAAATACCATCTTTAAACGTCTTTTAGTATGACGCGGCCAAGGATCGAACCCACGACATTACGCTCTCCGGGCAGACTCTCTACCGCTAGACCACGGAGGCAGTCAATATGCAAGTAAGTAAGTGAGAATGAGTATTGTTTTACGCCGCGCTTTGAGATATTCCAGCAATATCATGGCTGGGTACACTAGAAATTAACTTCACACACAGTACTTATGTTCGGAATCGAACCCGGGCCTTCGGCGTGGCGAACGAGTGCTATAACCACTAGGCTACCCCACAGCCCCAAAATGCAGATGCAATGGCCAACTTACGACAAAGGAATGTTTACGTCTAATCCTTTGGTATATTCTTATTCCGCAAAGGCGAGGAACCTTGGCCTAGTGACGATGCCTCAATGAGTATCATCACCTCAGAGATCCGGGTTCGCCTCCACAAATATGTGCAATCTGCGAGCCCTTCCCGGAAATGGCTGTTCAAAGTCACTCACTCACTAATCCTCTCACTCGTCCTCTAACTCACCTTTTCCATTTCTTCGTCCGACACCTGTGCGAAGCCGAGACGGATGTTGGGTCGTGATGCTAGGTCCACGGAGAAGATGAAGCCATCCATGGCGAACACACCCCTCTCCATCAATCTGTCAACGACCGGCTCGGACTTGTCCACGCCCAGTAACGTCACCCACTGAAACATCCCACCGCCCGTGGGTGTCCACTCGCACAGACCTGCATTCATTGATGGGATATAAATTCAGATACGTATCGACTATTAAACTACATTCGATAATCCTATTTAACATCCAGGTTTATCACAGATCTGACTTAGATAACAAACACACTGATAAACCTCAACGCCATACAATAACCAGTCTCGATTACACATAGAAATCAAACACATTAATACTAAACGTTAACGCCAAAGCATAGCCAGGATGACGCCCTGTTGAAAGACTGGAGGTTGCAATGTTTCAAAATACCCCCACTAAACATAATGTGGGGTCTCTGGTGGCCCAATTGTGTGTAAGTCAGTGAGTGAGGCAGTTAGGTTTAACGCCGCTTGTAACAGTATTCCAATTAAGCCACAGCGTGTCACTTTACTGTGATGTTTACCACTTTGGTGAACCCAGACCAGAAACCTAGTTGTGTAATAAGGTGCCACATTCAGCTGACCAGAGTTACATCCCTCAGCTGCTAGATCCACAATTCGTGGGTTCGAATCCTAGATTGGTTTTGATCATGACCTTTAAGCGAACACAAACCCATAAACACAAAAATGGCTAAACACTTCTGCGGAACTTTAGATTTTCCGCCCACAATTCTGAAAAGTTTTAAGTTTTGCAAAAACGGGAAGAAACCTTGCAAAATCAGGGCGGAGTATGTTTGGAGAATAAATCAAGACATTTTATTTTGTCAACTTGAAATTTAAACCTACGTTTGAAGTAAGCATTATATTAGGCAGTACTATTTATTGTGCCCATGCCTCACAGTCATATTTATAAATACTACGTCACAGGCTTTACCTATAAGATATTTCTCCATATATGATATCAGTGTGTCATTTCTCTGTTTGTAGAAGCTAGCCACCTTTTCCATGTGTTTGAGGAATTTGTCGTGCCCCCAGGTGTTCACAACCTTAGAGATTATCACCTGCAGGTTAAAAGAACAAGAGAATTATATATAGAAGAACTACAAGTAGTTAATGTGCCTGTTGTCATAAATACGAGGGTAAAGTATACGTGAGACACAGGAACTATATTATTGCGTTTATAGCATGTACATAGAGGAATGTGATTTTTTTTCTATACGAATATATTATGTTATACACGCTATGATCGAGTTCCTGTGTCGTGAGAGATGGATTATATACTGTGAAACTGCAAGGTGAGTAGAATAAACAAGAGAGATGGATTATATACTGTGAAACTGCAAGGTGAGGAAAATAAACAAGAGAGATGGATTATATACTGTGAAACTGCAAGGTGAGTGGGATAAACGAGCGAGATGGATTATATACTGTGAAACTGCAAGGTGAGTAGAATAAACAAGAGAGATGGATTATATACTGTGACACTGCAAGGTGAGTAGAATAAACAAGAGAGATGGATTATATACTGTGACACTGCAAGGTGAGTAGAATAAACAAGAGAGATGGATTATATACTGGGACACAACCTTAGAGATTATCACCTGCAGTTTAAAAGAACAAGAGAATTATATATAGTAGAACTACAAGTAGTTAATGTGCCTGTTGTCATAAATACGAGATTAAGGTTATATACTGTAAACGTTCGGCGTGTTGATGAAGGTGACTATAGGGTTAACGTGAGAGATTGGTTATGTACTGTGAAACTATAAGTTGTTGGAAGACGAGTAGTGAGTGAGTGAGTTTTATTTAGCGCCGCTTAAAGCAGTTCTTCAGTTATATCACGGCGTGTCAGCTTAATGTGGGAGGAAAGCCCGAAGTTCTGCAGGTCTCAGACGTTTACCACCATGGTGAAACCCACGAGAACGGGTATGGTGTTGACAAACATACAAAGATAATCGGGTCGAAACGGGAGTCGAACCCACGATCATAATTAGGTTTCTTGCGTGCCTAAGGGACGCAACTCTACCCAGCGAATTGCGACGCCTTAGACGACTGGGCCACCCGTACCCCAGAAGACGAAAAGGGTAAACATGAGAGACGGATAATATGCTGTAAAACTATGAGGTGTTGACAGACGAGTCGGTGAAACGTGCGAGATTGATTATACACTGTGAAACTGCAAGGGGATTGAAGACGAGAAGGAGAAGCAAGTGAGATAGATTATATACTCAGTCTGTAAAACTACGAGGTGCTGGAAGGTGAGTTGGAGAAACGCAAGAGATGAGTTATACACTGTAAAACTACAAGGTTGTTGATTGATTGAGTGAGTGGGTTAGGTTTTACGCCGCTTTAACATTATTCCAGTTATATCACGGCGGCTCAGCTTAATGTGGGAGGAAAGCCCGAAGTCAAGCAGGTCTCAGACGTTTACCACTTCGGTGAAACCCACGAGCAGGGGTATGGTGCTGACAAACCTAGAAACATAATTGGGGCGAACCGGGATTCGAACCCATAGGTTTCTGGCGTGCCCAAGGGACGCAACTCTACCCAGCGAATTGCGACGCCTTAGACGACTGGGCCACCCGTGCCCCCACGGATAGGAGAAAAGTGAGAGACGAATCATATACTGTTAAACTACAAGGTGATGGAATATAGGTGGGCTAGACATGGACATTCGGTAGAGTTAAAATGATGGGTATAAGTTGATACCATACTGCATATCACCTGAGATATTCCGCTCGGCCCCCCTGTCATTGGATGTTGTATAATTGCCATTTTGTCCACAATCTGCTTTGGTCCAAACACGATACCAATTCGACACCTTTCACGACATATCGGAGATATCAGAAATGTATTTGATTTTCAAAATTCAAGTAATAAATTCAAATAGACATTTTCAAAAAGAGTGATGAGAAGTTTAAAGCTGCATCAGCAAGATAGATATAGTGAATATGATAAAGTGCAATTAACGGCTTAAGTTAAAATCCATTCCTCTAGAAATGTGCTAACAATGTGTTATTCAAAATGTAACAGTGCCACGCCATTTGACATCCTAATTGTTACATGTTACATCAAGGCGACTAACGGGATCGGGTGGTCAGGCTCGCCGACTTGGTTGATGCAAATCATCGTATCCTAATTTCGTGGATCGATGCTCATGATGTCCATCTCTGGATTGTCTGGTCCAGACTCGATTATTTACAGACCGCCGTCATATAGCTGGAATATTGCTGAGAGCGGCGTTGAACATCAAACAAACAAACAAAAAACATGTTACATCCTCCTCCATTAATACTGGAACAGTGTAACGTGATACATCTACAAAGTTACAATTATATCGGATAATTAGCAATATTAGTGTTACGTTATAAATGATCGATATTGTTACAAATCAAAATCATCAAGAATGTAATATTGTTACGTTATGTCATCGACTCAGTTACAAAATCAAGTCATCATGGTTACATTGTTTTGTAATAGAACATCAACAAGTTACAAATATCAAGTCATCAACAATGTTTCTGAGAGACATTGTAAGTCATGGACATTGTTACAAATCAAATTAGTAACAATGTTCCAGTGTCAAGTCATACAGTTTTTACCCTGGGGATAACGTCTTCGAAAATGAGTCAACTCGAATAACACGCCCATCCGTATCCATCGACAGGAAACTCGGGACGAGAGACTGCAAGAAATAGCAAACCAATTAAAAATATTTTACAATAATTACATACTGACAATACACAGTAAATATCATCCGACATACAGATTATAACAACCGAATGTAATTCGACATACACACGACGCTTTCTTAATAGTTTATCTATATTACATTATCTTACTACTTCATAGATTTTTATATGATGTAAGCAACGTTTTATTCAGGTGGTACTTTTCTGCTCGTCGTCAATTAAAACAGAAGATTCTTTTATGAAAGATATTTTTTTATCCTTACCAAACAATAAGAAACAGCTATTATGAAAGTAATAATTGAAATCAGCTGCAATATTTTTAAAGACAAAACTTTCATACCAGTGAAATGTTTCAAACAGTTGTAATTTTCGTTTGTGCAATAAATCTACATATCTACATTTTCATTGGTAACAAGTAGCAGCAGTGCGTCATTCATAAAGTGTTTTCGCCAAGTCAACACAGACGTTTTTTTCTTTTGTTCATGTTTTATCTCATTTAGGGACTTGGCAAAGATTCTGATGAATATAATATGAAATTCTGTTCGCTTAGACATAAAGTATTCAATCATCTATAATGTTTATTAAAGTGTTTTGCCAAGTCAAACAATACAGAGAAAATATAGATGTTTTCTTCTTGTATAATAACACACTTATCTCATGGTGTGACCTGACAAGGATGATATTGCAAATTTCAACTAATTTATGTTACGATATGAAATAAACATATTATGATACACCAATGGTATATTATATATATGTGTTGTCATAACTTATCTTCAAGATCTCTCAACAAAAACTCAGAATCACTGAGACAGACTGTAAATAGTTCTTGCATAAAGTATGTTACAACGCAGTGTTCCAGCAAGATCCTGTCGTGGGACACTAGCAATGGGCTAGTTTCACATTAATAAAGTATACTGAACAACAAAAGTTCCTGTGACATTGAATAAGATTTAATGCAAAGTTATGTTTTTTACCAAATCTGAAACAATTTCGGTTTGCAACAGATAAAAGACTCCTGTAAGTGTTCATATGGTTTACTTTGCCACACTGACTTCAGAAAATGCGTGATTTCATAAAAAAACATGAACATGCCAAAATGTCAATTTACAAATCCATAGCGTGTGTGTACACCTCGCGATGCAAGCAACACATCTTCGTCTCATGGAATGGACCAGGCGTCGCACAAAGTCCTGTGGGATATCTGTCCATATCTGCTGGAGCATGTTTCGAAGTTCCTGGGGTGTCTGTGGAACACGTGGTTGACGTCGAAGGCGCCGATCCATCTCATCCCACATGTGCTCGATTGGTGAGAGATCAGGGGAGCGAGCCGGCCAGGGGATGACATTCACGTTTTTTTAAAGAAAATCCTGAACAAGTCGAGCAATATGAGGCCGGGCGTTGTCATGTTGAAAGGTAATGCCTGGGCCATGACGACGCCAAAACGGTAGAACAATAGGGCCGATGATCTCGTCGCGGTAGCGCTGTCCATTGAGATTTCCCTCTACCACTATCAAACGGCTCTTCTGTCTTGCTGTAGTCCCACCCAGTACCATAACGCTGCCGCCTCCGAACCGACGTTCTTCCATGACACAATGATTGACGTAACGTTCACCTCGACGTCGGTACACTGGAATCCGTCCATCGCTGTGGCTGAGGTGAAAACGAGACTCGTCATTGAATAGAACTTGTCCCCATTGCATGGCCGTCAAGCGTAGACGCTGTCTGCACCACTGTAGACGTGCTTGACGGTGGTTTCCTGTCAAAATGGGACGTCTGGTGGGTCTTCTGGCGACAATCCTGAGGCGACGACGTACGGTTTGTGAAGATCTTCGTCGAAGGCCAGGGATGCTTCTTGCAGTCACTGTTGCTGGCTGGAATCGATTTCGTAGGTGTGTTGTTCGAATCCAGTTGTCTTGTCGATTATTGGTTGCGCGTGGCCTGCCACTCCGAGGATGCTCTCTGACTGCATTCGTCTGTTGCCAACGTTGCCATAAACACCAAATGGTGTTTCTGTGGACGTTAAATTGTCTTGCAACATCATGTTGACTCAATCTTGCTTCAAGCATACCAGTGGCTCGCAGGCGCATATTTTCGGATAGGCGTGGCATTTCGTAATGTTGAATAATTGCGTAATTTTGTTGTTTTTCTCAGTGGTTGTTGTAAGCACGATGCTAAACAATGCATATGGAATCCCGTTAACGCACATGTTTTTATACCCACTCTTGGGTAGTGAAATGCATGGGGCTTGCATAAAAGTAAACTTTTGCATGTTTTTGTGACTTGATTCCATACATGTTCTACAATATTGAAAACCAAGCTTTACTTGTTTGAAAAATACACTAAAATATTGGTGTCACAGGAACTTTTGTTGTTGAGTATATTTCATCACTAAATACATGAAAAGACAGAAAACTGACGCTCTGCAAGAAGTAGTACGGATCGTCTTCCAAGATGAGGATGTTAAACTCTCGGGCAACGTTGTAGAGGTCCTTCTTCCGTTGTTCGCTCAGGGTCTTCCCCGTGGGGTTGCTTAGACTAGGGACGATGTACATTAGATGGGGACGCCGTCCCTGGCTCCCCTCGTTCCATTCGGACAATACCTGCTTAAGGTGGACAGGGTCCATACCTCCATTTTCACTTCGGATTGGAACGCCTCTGACTTTCCGTGGTAAGTACTGAAGAAGAAGGAATCCTTGAGTCAGGTTGTTATTTTAACACGTTTTATGGGTGAGAAAGTGGGTTTGTGGTGGGTGGGTAAGTGTTAAATAGCGGTAAGAGACTCTTTGAGTAAGTGGGTGAGCATCGGCAAGAGTCTTTTAGGTGCCGACCATTTGATATTCTGATTGGGGGCTGGGATTTTATCCCCGAAAAATAATTATCCCCTAAAATTCTTGAAAAATAATAATTATGCTTCAGACTGTTGAAAAAAAGAAAGAAATTCCCTACAACAGAAATTACATTTCTGAAAAAAATCAGGCTCATAGTTTTAAAACAAAAAATATCTGGTTTTGTAGCTTTAGCTGAAAAAAAACTATTCTACCATGAATTTGGAATTTACTCGATTCTGATTGGTCAATCAGAGGCTATTAAATCACAATAAACCCCCTCTGATTGAAACAAAATACCACTTACTGTGGGACTTATTGTCTGGTAAATCACTTCTTCAGCGAGAAAACAACCTCCATCTTCCACAAACATATTTAAGGCCTGAATAAAAATAAGTAAATAAAAATAAGTTTCTTTAAACATCGAGAAACATGTTATTCTTTCAAATTACCTACTAAGCAACCAGCAACAGAGGTATTTACATTATGATGTATAATTATGATTGAGCTAAATATCAACGGTTTTGCAATCGTGAATGTCATATATCGGACGTGAAATGCAAATATGACTGAATGCAAATATATATGTTTACATATTTTTCACCGCTTTTTTGCTTTAACAGCTTAAGGAATCTGTTTCGTTGGATAATCGAGACTGGGTATAGTATTCTTTGTAGTTACATTGGTATGAAGATTCTGTTTACCTGGACCACGCCAAATCTTCCCCCGGGGGTGAGTAGCAAGGCGAGGGATGAGGGAAGTCCACCGTCGTCCATTGTTGGAGGGTTGTGTACACGCCTGTATAACTCCTCCACCCATCCTCGGATCTTTGGCATCCTGGTGTTCAAGTATTCAAATTGTAAAATATGATAATAATTTCCATTCCATATCTATTGCCTCAAAGCAAATTGTCGCTGCAAGTTGATTCTACCGGTGAATGGATCATTGTTCCCTCAAATTACATTATTGAGGAGAATACAGCCATTTAATTAACTTAACCATCTCATCCTACCGGGTACCCATTCGTTGCCACGTAAACACGGGCATATTTCGAACAAAGTCACTAAAGTCTTGCCTCAGTAGCGACTACACATAATATGTGTTTCAGTGTTGGGCAGTAACGAAACTCGGGAAACTCTCCGATGTGAAGCTTGCAAATAACGGTCACCCATCCACCTCACACGTACTCTCCCGGAGTTAAACCGATCCTTGAGGTTAACCATTTGGGTAAATGATCGGAATGGACCTGGAATTCAAACCTACTGCAAGGGATTCTTATGTTAAGAACTGACTCGCAGAGAGAATCGCATAGGCTTAGAACTCTGTGCCTATTGTACCGAACATATTGCAGAAAAAAGTACCCGACCATTTTATTGAAAAACACTGGATTGGTTACTGATTGAACTACGGTGTTCTTACCCCTTTGTGCTTGTATACTGAAGACAAAGGTTCATCTCCGCGGGTGTAATTTCTACCTCCTCACCATCGCTGTAAAACATGATCATTCACATATATAGTGTACAGTTAATATCCTCACTTCTGTATTTTAGGGTCAAATTTACGTCTTCATCTTAAGGTCAAAGGAAAGATAAAAGTTATGATTTATTAAAAAAGACAAATTATTTAATCTTCGAAGACATAATAAAAAATTATGAATAAAATGACAGTTCTGATGCCATACTCCATCATGAGGGTGTGGTTTGGTAGCCTAGTGGTTAAAGCGTTCGCTCGTCACGGCGAAGGTCCAGGTTTGATTCCGAACATGGGTACATTGTGTGAAGACCATTTCAGGTGTCCCTCCGCCGGGATATTGCAAAAAGCGGCTTAAACCCATACTCACTCACCCACTCCATTCATGAGATTCTGTGGTTTGTATGATGCTGTGTAACACCAGTTGTTAGAGTGAGTGAGTACGTGAGTGAGTGAGTGAGTGAGTGAGTGAGTGAGTGAGTGATTAATGCCGCTCTAAGACGAAACACTGCAAACTCCAGGTCCTCTGATATCCGTATGACATTATTATACATCGCCATCAAGTTACGATTTCTTGTTTGTTTCATTTTTAGCCACTATCAAACATGGGTGTTTATTTTCTTTTGCTCGGCAGCATATATCAAGGCGGACTGTAGATTATCTTGTCTGGGCTAGAGAAACCAGTGGTTGATATTATGAGCAACATGCCATGTGGACGGTGTATGATGACACCAAAAACACCAAAGTGACCAAGCCTGACCAGCGTATATAATAAAGTCACACTTTCCGACAATCCCTGGAGGATGGGAACACATTCAAAGTTAATTGCCATTTTGCGTGAAGTCACATAGTTCTAGGTATATATTCGGGCCACCAGGGCAAGGTTTGTAATCCAGCACGTCATAATATTATTCCACTGACCGACGTGATGAGAAATACATGTTTTTATACCTTAACGTTAACGTTGCTTTGAGAAGGGGAAACTGTATGCTGTTTGGTAATCCTCCATCCATCCATACTTGTCCAGATGTCGGCGTTTTACTCTTTTGTTCTGAAAGTCAAAATGAGTGAGTATGATTTTACGCTGCTGTCAGCAATATTGCAAAAGTACCACAGCTTGAGTAATCAGAAATTCACTTCACATATATGCCCAAGGCACATAATTCGGAAGTACTCTGGGATTCGAACCAGGAACTTATCTCAACGGAGTAGGATCAAGTCGGCATAAAACATAACTATTAAGACTCCTCCCCATCATTCTGTAATTCTAAACTCAAGTGAGGTGAGGTCCAATCACTAGAAACTAACGATACTGACCATCCATCGTGGCCTCACGACTCCATTTTGAAGTGTTGCCAGTTTGTCACGGAATTACGTCATGTTCTAGCCCGGGAGTGGCCCAGTCGTCTGGCAATCGGCAGTTTTTTTCCCTTGTGCACGCCAGAAATCTATGAGCATTGGTTCGAATCCCGTTCGTCCTGATTATGTTTTTAGTTTTGTCAGCACCACACCCGTGCTCGATGGTGTCACCAAATTGATAAACGTCGGAGACCTGCAACACTTCGAGCTTTCCTCCCACATTAAGCTGACACGCCGTGATATAACTGGAATACTGTTCAAAGCGGCATAAGCTCACTCAGGTGTATGGAGAACTCTCGAAGCAGGGATGAGATCGTCCATTGGCGTGACTAAAGTAGTATGTTACATTGCCTGTATGCACATCTGCTTAATGCCATGAACTCATGCCATATCATTCGCCATGCCTGTACTCAGGAAGACTATACAAAGACTCGCTGATATACACACAGGTAAAGCGACATCAAAGATTAAATCGCGTGAATGTAGTACAAAGTGTGCACATATAAAATTTAATACAAGAAACTGGAGCTGAATACGTACCTACATACCTCCAAACAGGTGCCGGTTTTGTCAGTTTCGTTTGTTCGTTAAAGAACAAGCTGTAGTCTGTAATACGTTGGTTGTCACTGCATGCAACACTGTAATGACATTTGGAGGATGTTATAGTCCTCGCCACTTGAAACAAAATCACGAAATATCGCGATAATTAATTAACGAAGGCCGCTGCATTTGTGATCATACTAATAAAGTTAAAACAACCCATCCGCCGATACAGAATACTTCTTACAGTAATGACATACATTGCAAGTGCGCTTATCAAGAAATTATAATTTTCTTAGCCATAAACATCATCGTTACGTTTTGATCACGTGGTTACAATATGGGTAAAAATCGACAGGTCCCGTGAAGATTCCGGGTTTGAATTGGTCTTCAGCAACCCCTTGCTAGTCCTGAGAGGCGACTAACGGGATCGGGTGGTCAGGCTCGTTGACTCGGTTGATGCATGTCATCGTATCCCCATTGCGTAGATCGATGCCAATGATGTCATTCACTGGATTGTCTGGTCCAGATTCGCTGCAGACCGCCGTCATATAGCTGGAACATTGCTGAGTGCGGCGTTAAACAACAAACAAACAAATATTAAACAAACAAAAAGAATCGACAGTCAGGTGATTGCGAGCGGTTATATTTAGCAGTGACCTTCGTTAAAAGCGTTTTATATACAACTGCACACACACGCTGCACAATATAGTCGCTCGCAGTCACCTGACCACCGATCTTCGTTAAGTAATCATCGCGATATTGCGTGATTCTATTTCAAGCTGTGAGGACTATAATGCACATATTAGACCTGAGACGATGCTGGCAATGCGAACATGTTCTTTAATAGCCTTATCTGTACCCATTTATCTGAATTGTATATCGGTTCATGTGTATATTTACTGCATTCGTGATAACGCTTATGTGCCGTGATAAAATGTGTTGGTAATGAGATGTCGAAAGCTGTTGCCTTTTTTGCTAATATGACTGATAAATAGCTTCTGTTTACATAAGGAATAGGGCAACCGTCCTTTCAGGACCACCTGCTGCCATGTTACTGTTAGACAATGAAACACAACGATGTAACTACGCCAGCATTTCGATACATGAATAGCATTTACCTTCGCTCCTCCGCCATGTTGCTGGCCGTGTCAGAGTGTTTCTCTAATCGGAAGTTTGAGGTGTGTGACTGAACAATGACAGGGCAAAAACCGTACTACATCAAATAAATCTTTGTTATATCCGGATAAGAGTTGCCTAGCACATCCATAGAAATGATCGAGGGGCGGTCGGGTAGCCAGTGGTTTAAGCGTTTGCTCGTCACGCCGAAGACCCGGGTTCGAGTCCCGACATGGGTACAATGTGTGAAGCCCATTTCTGGTGTCCCCCGCCGTGATATTGCTGGAATATTGCTAAAAGCGGCGTAAAACCATACTCAGTCAGTCAGTCATAGAAATGATCGAGGAATTTGTAAGAACTTCTCTTTGGATTTCTACCTTATTCTAAAAACAAATTTCAAGTGAGTGAGTCTAGTTTAACGCCGCTTTTAGCAACATTCCATCAATGGGCTTTAAATATTGTATCCATGTCGTACCTGAGACCTGCCTAACTTCGGGTTTTCCTCCCACATCAAACTGACAGACCGTGAAATAACTGCAAAGCGGCGTTAAATCCTATTCACCCACTCATTCTTCTGTAATATACATTCTTTTCCCTACACACCCCAACATGATAGATAACGGTACTGTGAGGTCAGGAAAGGGCAACTTCAAATTGCAACCGCACACAGCGGATAGATTACATCCGCTGCTGTCTGTCTTCCTCTGGGTCAGCTGGTGTCTTCCGCATACTATGTCCTCATGGTGTGACTCACACTGTTGGGTAATATGTAATACATAAGGTTATACAGAGGTTAAATAAACACAAACAAGTTGGTTTGTGTGGCGTGGCGTTGCGTGACGTGGCGTGGCGTGGCGTGGCATGGCGTGGCACATCATTACATGCATTTTCGTTCATGTCCTAGGCATTATGTTCGGTATAGGTATTTAAATAGTTGGTGACTGTGCCAGTAGGCACAAATGTCTGTGACATAGGATTTTGAAATATGCACAAATATTTCGTGTCAAACATAACCGGAATCAATATAACCTAAGCGGACTAGGTGAATTATATGTAGTTGTTTGTACAAAGGTTTGGTATTCATGGACAAACAAATAACTATGAACTACAGTAGATAATGACAGTTGTGAAGATTAATATTTCAGGTCTGCGTCATAAAACAGTTAATCACTTTTCGCGGTTCTTTATGCCGTGACAGTCTGTAATTGCAGATCCTGTATGGCATTGTACGTAGTCACAATGTGTAGTCACACAGTCACAATGTGTAGTCACACAGTTACAATGTGTAGTCACACAGTCACAATGTGTAGTCCCATGGTCACAATGTTTAGTCACACTGTCACAATGTGTAGTTACACTGTCACAATGTGTAGATACACGGTCACAACGTGAAGTCACATAGTCACAATGTGTAGTCACACTGTCACAGTGTGTAGTCACGCTGTTACAATGTGTAGTTACACGGCCACATTGTGTAGTCACATAGTCACAATGTGTAGTCACACTGTCACAATGTGAAGTCAAACTGTCACAATATGTAGTTACACGGCCACATTGTGTAGTCACATAGTCACAATGTGTAGTCACACTGTCACAATGTGGAGTCACACTGTCACAATATGTAGTTACACGGCCACATTGTGTAGTCACACGGTCACAATGTTTAGTCACACTGTCACAATGTGTAGTCAAACAGTTACAATGTGTAGTCACACAGTCACAATATGTAGTCACACGGTCACAATGTTTAGTCACACTGTCACAATGTGTAGTCACAATGTGTAGTAACACAGTCACAATGTGTAGTCACAATGTGTAGTAACACAGTCACAATGTGTAGTCACAATGTATAGTCACACGGTCACAATGTTTAGTCACACTGTCACAATGTGTAGTCACAATGTGTAGTAACACAGTCACAATGTGTAGTCACAATGTGTAGTAACACAGTCACAATGTGTAGTCACAATGTATAGTCACACAGTCACAATATGTAGTCACAATGTGAAGTCACACAGTCAAAATATACAGTCAAAATATACAGTCACACTGTCACAATGTGTAGTAACACAGTCACAATGTGTAGTCACAATGTATAGTCACACAGTCACAGTATGTAGTCACAATGTGAAGTCACACAGTCAAAATATACAGTCACACGGTCACAATGTGTAGTTACACGGTCACAATGTGTAGTCACACTGTCACAATGTGTAGTCACACTGTCACAATGTGTAGTTACACGGTCACAATGTGTAGTCACAGAGTCACAATGTGTAGTCACACAGTCACAATGTGTAGTCACACAGTCACAATGTGTAGTCACACAGTCACAATGTGTAGTCACACAGTCACAATGTGTAGTCACACGGTCACAATGTGTAGTTACACGGTCACAATATGTAGTCACACTGTCACAATGTGTAGTCACACGGTCACAATGTGTAGTCACACTGTCACAATGTGTAGTCACACAGTCACAATGTGTAGTCACACGGTCACAATGTGTAGTTACACGGTCACAATATGTAGTCACACTGTCACAATGTGTAGTCACACGGTCACAATGTGTAGTCACACCGTTACAATGTGTAGTCACACAGTCACAATGTGTAGTCACACTGTCACAATGTGTAGTCGCAGAGTCACAATGTGTAGTCACACGGTCACCATGTGTAGTCACACTGTCACAATGTGTAGTCACAGAGTCACAATGTGTAGTCACACAGTCACAATGTGTAGTCACACGGTCACAATGTGTAGTTACTCGGTCACAATGTGCAGTCACATAGTCACAATGTGTAGTTACACAGTCACAATATGTAGTCACACTGTCACAATGTGTAGTCACACGGTCACAATGTGTAGTCACACCGTTACAATGTGTAGTCACACTGTCACAATGTGTAGTCACACTGTCACAATGTGTAGTCGCAGAGTCACAATGTGTAGTTACACTGTCACAATGTGTAGTTACACAGTCACAATGTGTAGTCACAGAGTCACAATGTGTAGTCACACAGTCACAATGTGTAGTCACACGGTCACAATGTGTAGTTACACGGTCACAATGTGCAGTCACATAGTCACAATGTGTAGTTACATTGTCACAATATGTAGTTACACTGTCACAATGTGTAGTCACACGGTCACAATGTGTAGTCACACCGTTACAATGTGTAGTCACACAGTCACAATGTGAAGTCACACCGTTACAATGTGTAGTCACACAGTCACAATGTGAAGTCACACAGTCACAATGTGTAGTCACACGTCACAGTGTGTAGTCACACAGTTACAATGTGAAGTCACACAGTCACAACATGTAGTCACATAGTCACAATATGTAGTTACACGGTTACAATGTGTAGTCACACCGTTACAATGTGTAGTCACACGGTCACAATGTGTAGTCACACCGTTACAATGTGTAGTCACACAGTCACAATGTGTAGTCACACTGTCACAATGTGTAGTCACAGAGTCACAATGTGTAGTTACACTGTCACAATGTGTAGTTACACAGTCACAATGTGTAGTCACAGAGTCACAATGTGTAGTCACACAGTCACAATGTGTAGTCACACGGTCACAATGTGTAGTTACACGGTCACAATGTGCAGTCACATAGTCACAATGTGTAGTTACACTGTCAAAATATGTAGTCACACTGTCCCAATGTGTAGTCACACGGTCACAATGTGTAGTCACACCGTTACAATGTGTAGTCACACAGTCACAATGTGAAGTCACACCGTTACAATGTGTAGTCACACAGTCACAATGTGAAGTCACACAGTCACAATGTGTAGTCACACGTCACAGTGTGTAGTCACACAGTTACAATGTGTTGTTACACGGTCACAATGTGTAGTTACACGGTCACAATGTGTAGTCACACTGTCACAATGTGTAGTTACACGGTCACAATGTGTAGTCACACTGTCACAATGTGTAGTTACACGGTCACAATGTGTAGTTACACGGTCACAATATGTAGTTACACGGTTACAATGTGTTGTTACACGGTCACAATGTGTAGTTACACGGTCACAATGTGTAGTTACACGGTTACAATGTGTAGTCACACAGTCACAATGTGTAGTTACACGGTTACAATGTGTTGTCACACTGTCACAATGTGTAGTTACACGGTCACAATGTGTAGTCACACGGTCACAATGTGTAGTTACACGGTCACAATGTGTAGTTACACGGTTACAATGTGTAGTTACACGGTCACAATGTGCAGTCACACTGTCACAATGTGTAGTTACACACATTTATATGTATATTACATATATGTCAGAAGTAGTTCATTTACATATGTACAAGTATCATATTGATTATTTGTGTTATTAGGTGGGCAATTAGCATGTAGTTACACGGTCACAATGTGCAGTCACACTGTCACAATGTGTAGTTACACACATTTATATGTATATTACATATATGTCAGAAGTAGTTCATTTACATATGTACAAGTATCATATTGATTATTTGTGTTATTAGGTGGGCAATTAGCATGTGCTATTTACAAACGTACACGTGTTTACAATACATACATCGTTTGGTAAAGGCAATCTTCGGATGACTTCATCCCACTTTTTAACTGCACCACAAATATATTTATCATGCTCTCTGCCCATACATTGTAGTCTAATTCAACTTCAAGTTGTTCAGGTAAAACCGCCAAGCAGAAAAGTCAGAAAGGTATCATCGTCTGTCCAGATTCTCACAAATATTATTACATCAGCGAGTCAATGATTTTATCAAATATGATATTTCTTTCTTCTAAATTCTTTTGACATGACATGAAAACGTGTTTCACTATATCATTCGAAACTGTCCCACAAATACATTCCTTTGATTCTATTGGCATTGAACCTAAGCGAACTAGTCTAGCTAAGGAAGTAAAATATTCTGGTCTATTGGGAGCAAGTTTCCATAACCTATGTTCTCGTCCAGATCGGATTGTAAGATATCTTGACAGAGATAATCTGCTCAGAAGCGCATTGTTTAGTAATTGTATTTCGTGTAGGTGAATCTTTTCTTTCACCAGTTTTGACAATAATCGTTTCTTGATGAAATTTAAACACATTATATAATCAT